CTCCCACTAGGGCGCTGAGGCTTGATGTGTCCTTGGCTGGGATCTTACTGCCACCATGTCTCCTTGGGTTCCTTTACCCCACTCAGGCCTCTGCGTAGACATCACCGCCTCAGAGACTCTCCCAGACCAGTGCGTCCAGAGCGGCCTCCCTGTCTTCCATCCGCTCCCCACTCTGTTTTTCTTGAGAGAATTTATTACCCCTGACATCATATTGCCTCTTCCATTAGCACATCAGTTTCACAGGGGCAGGGATTTTGTTTGTTTTTCTCTTTATTTCAAGTGTCTATGACAGTCTTAGGTACATAGTTGGTATTCAATAAACATTTGTTAAAAGATCATACACCAGGAACACTGGGAGGGTGAATTCTGTTTGCTGGTGGAAAAGGATGAGGGGCACAGGTCCCTGCTGCCTGAGGGAGGTGTTTTGGCCAGTCGGTCCCAAGCAGAATTTCAGCCTTCACTTGTGCCTTCACCTGGGCACCCTGATGCTTGCACACCTGTTTGGGGTGACCCTGGCAAGGCATGCTCTATGGCTATAAGAGAACCCTAATGCTCCAGGCTCTCCTGCCCAGATCCCTGGATTCAGGGGCCATCTGGTCCCAGAACTCAAATGTTATAGCAAACCCCCAACACTGGGCTGTGTTTTTTATCCTGGTCCTGGGGCATATGGGGGTGGTATGGTGAACAGGAAACCGTGACTTCCCGGATCATGCTTTTTACTTAATGGTAATTCACTTGAAGCATCATTGTTATAGAAAATCAACCTTGAATATATCACAGCATAGAAAGCACAGTTCCCATTCTTTACAAAAGGTGACACTGAGGACTTTAGAGAAGTTTCACCTTTGGTAGGGTGGGTGAGAGGTGTTGAGCTCTGGAACAGGAGCCAGTGTACCTTGGCTTTGCAGATCTGCCCTGCTGAGCTGTGGCTTCTTTGCAGGAAATGTGTAGATGCCCTATTGGGGTTTTGTGGGTGGAGGTGTTGGACTGGAAACATTTTCTCATCAAAGATGAGCTCCCTTATGTGTAAGAGCCTCGCTCACAGTAGAAGCTCCATTGCTAGTAGGAACGAATGCACCCTAGGAGATGGGCTGGTGGAGGGAACATCTGACTTCAACTTGGGAGAACTGGGTTCTAGTCCCCTCTTTTCTGAGTCAGCCACTTCCCTGTGCTGAGGCTCATACCCCTTCATGGCTGGACTCATCTGTGAGGTCCCCTCTCAGAAGTTTATGGGCATTAAAGTCCCAGGAGAAGACCAGTCCTGGCATAGCTGCACACCTGCACACCGGCCAGACAAAGTACGACCAGCTCCCTCCTCTGCTTCGTCAGTCCCATGGAGAGAAAGTGGCCAATTCTCTTGCCGGAAACACCTGAGTGCTCCCTGACATCATTTGGCGTTTATAGCTGGCTCTGAGGAGTGGCAGGATGTTCCGTTTGCTCACACAGGCCCTGGGGACCTGTGGGAACTGGAGGTTGTTCAGGATTGTTAAGGACAGAAGAGGTGGAAGGAGAAGAGCCCAGAGGCTGAAGGGAGCCATGCTGTGGGGGCTGGCCAGGTGGGCCAGAGAGGAACTGGGCTTCCCTCCCAGGCCAGAACAGGCAGTTTTTTATGGATATGGTGTGATGTTGCTCACGCCTCAAACTTCTCATCCCATCTGTCCTTCATGAGCACTACGATGTTGTAAACGGTTTGGGCTGGAGCAGCCCCCCAAGAATTGATCTTGTGTGTCCCCCTCTGTGGCAGTTTTAAAATGTGGCCCCCAAATTCTTTGACCCTCCTCCCATCAAGAATTGGGATCTGTCTCCCCTTGCCCTGAATCTGGCCTTGTGACTACTTGACAAATGAATGCAGTGCTGTGCCAACTTCTGGGCCCAGGCCTTCAGACACTGGCAGCTCTCACTTCCTGTCTCTTGGGACACTCACTCTTGGAACGCAGCCACTGTGCCCACAAGAAGCCAAAGTAGCCCTTGGGGAGGAGAGGCCCACGTGGAGAGGAGCCCATGGCCCTGGCTGTGCTCCCGGCTGACCAGCACCAGTGTGCCAGGACTGGGGGCTGCTGTCCTGGGCACCCCCAGTCACGTCGTCCCATCGGACAGCACATGGAGCAGAGGTGAGCTACCCCACCAAGCCCTGCCCAGGCTGCAGATGCATGAATGACCACTGTCCCATAAGCCACCATGTCTCGGGGTGGTTTGTTATTTGCAATAGAAAATGGGCCCACCTGGCTCTGGTGAACAAGCCCTTCAGCCTCCAGATGGTTTCATATATTTTTCTTAAAATAGCATCTGTCCCAGCCATCCTGTAGACTCTTCTTTCTTTGGCAAAAGACTCTCAGCCCATCTCTCTAAATGAAGATGGTGATTAGCAGGAATTTTATTCCTAGAAGCCCACTCGCCACTTTTCTCATTTCGTTTCTCCTCACAATCCTCTCCTCCTATTTTCATGTCTTTTCTCTTCCAATGGACAGCTTCATCTCAGCCTCAGCTCCTGTAACCCCACCAAGGGACTTCACTGCATGTCTTTGTGGAATCTCGGAGTGCGCATGTGCATGTGTGTGCGTGTGTGCATAGCTGTGTGCAGAGCATAGTGTTGCAAACATTGCAGCTGGTAGTCAAGGAGCTGAAGGTTTTGATTGTTGACATTTTTTGTGTGTATCAGTTGCAGACTAATCATTCCTCTTTTAAGATATTTTAAAACTAAAATCCACCTTTTCGTGTTATATCATTTTGTGTTTTTCAAATTTTCTACCATGGACATGAATTACTTTCATGAGGAAAATAAAACTCACTTCCAATGCCAACACTGAGAGTTGACCAGAACTCACATCCAGGCAAATTTCTTTCCAGCCTTTTGTCTATATTCAGACATCTGTTGGGTGTTTGAAATCATCCCATAAATACAGTTCTGGGTCTTGAATTTTCACTGTACTATGTATTTCAAGGTCTCTCTCTCTCTCAACAAATACCTTCTCAAACCTGATTTTTCATTACAGTGTCCTATCATATATAGTATTCTTTATAATGTTCTACCATAAATAAATAATTCTTTTAATTCATTTAGCAAAATTTATGTGACATTTAGATTGTGATATATGTGTGTTTGTGTGTGTGTATATATATATATATTGCCACACATATGTGTTAGTGTGCATATGTATGTGTGTCACAGCTTTGTACATAAACTTCTAAATCTTTGAACCTTTAAATTCTTGAATGTTTTCACTTTGATTCCTAGAAGTCAAAGTTCCAGGTTAAACCCTGCGAACTTTTGGGAGGTTCTTGATATACAGTACAAGATGGCAGAAGCCATCCCTTCTGAAATATCTACTTGGCCGCAGGAACCATCTCCTATTGCCTGGGCATCTGTCGCCCTTTTATTCCTAGGAAAGGGCCAAGGATTGGGAAGTTCAAGGGAAGAAAAAACCAGGTGAAGATATGGGAGAAAGTATTTGGTGGAAGAAAAATCTCCTAAACTTAGTTTATAACCTTTGAATGGCTCGGGAGACAGTTTTTGTTTCCTGGCCTAATAAGATGAAGGAAGAGAACCAGCAATAGTCACATGGTAGATGCCTTCCATATATGACTTCACTCAATCCTCACAGGGCCCCTGATTTCTTATTATCTCTGTTCTATCAACAAGGAAACTTTGGGCTCCAACAGGTTAAATAACCTGCCCGGGGTCTGATAGCTGGTAAGGGTGGAGCCTGGGTGTGGACCCAGGACTGTCCGGCTTCAGAGCCAGCGAAACACACGCCAGCCTGGCCCTGCATTTCCACTGCAGTGTAGGGGAAGGTGAGTGGGCTCTGTCTCACCTTCACTCTTTCTGCCTCCCTAGCCCTGTCTGCTCTTTCTCCGTTTGAACAGCGGGGATGAGATGAAGATAAGGAGCCCTTTCCCAGCTGTCACACAATGTGGGACATCATACCCCAGAAGTTATTGAACCTTTTTCTTTCTCTGCAAATGTCTGAATCTGAGTGAAGCCTCCTACATCCCTCAACCCTGCTTGGATGACCTTTGGCAACCCTGCTGGGCAGAGGATTTGTGGGTTGTCGGGGAGTCCTCTGTGCTGCTCTGATCTGCATTCTTCCAGCACATGTTGTCTAGGACCATAAGCTCCCAGGCTGTGTGATGAGGGGAGGGAGTGTGGCAGATCAAGGAGTATTAATAAGGTGGCCACTGGCTGCTAGGCCTCTCCTCAGAGTCTGTGACAGGAGCAGTGCGCAGAGGGCAGCCGAGGGCAGAGGGATGTGCATGCCACTCTGAACCCTGTGTTTAAACCCTAGCATGCCACAGGAGGATTGCTCCTTAATCAGAGCTTTGTCCAAACCCTCACTCTCCTAGCCACTAAATTGCATCTCTTACCCCTTCAGATTTCCTTTGCAAAATTTGTCCTCCGGGGAGCCACCCCAGATGGACCCCACGTGGCTCTATTTAGATGTCTCATTCTTTTCGGGGAGCTTCATCTGGAGGTGACATTCAAGCTATTTAAAAACAGTAAGAATGAATCTAGTCCTAGACCAGTCTTAACAGACAGCTCTGAAGGCAGGAGGCTCCCAGAGGCCCTCTGCTGGGGCAAGTGTTAACCCTTTCGTTGCTGGACTCAGGGAGTTCTGAAGGTGCCAGGAGAGAAGGGCACTAGAGGGGCTCATGGTAGTGGCTATTTCCCAAGGGATACAGAAGTTTTTCAATATTTTAATAATTGGTTTGGCTGTACCAGTGCATACAGGTTTGGCTGAGGAAAAAAAATGGAGACTTGCCCATGGTTTCTTAGGGTCATTGCAAGTGTGTCTTTGCCGACCCCTCTGTAGACGTAGTGACAGGTCCTTCTTCCTCTGCACGTCCATACAGAGCCTAACATCGGTTTCTGGATTCAGGTAACTGCCACGTTCTAGCTCATCAGGGATGAGCCTCATGTGACCCAAAGCCCATTCCCAGTTCCACAAATGAGGGATCCTCCATCTTTAGTTCCCCCCATGGCAATATGCACCTCCTGATGTTTCTCTTGTAGCAGGCAGCTAATCAAAGGTGGCTGAAAAAAAATGATTGGCCTTTTGTGTGGGTTAAATTTGCATAAAATTCCATTAGGGAATTGCCATTCTCATAGACAGTGTGGTCAATAACACAGTCTCTCTCCCCAGTGGTTTGGCCATTCCTCTCCTTGACAGTGGCAAGACACTGGCCTGAGACACCAGGAGCTACTCCACCACCAGCAGCTTTAAGGCCTTGGGTGGGAATTTCCCTCTCTGGGCTTTGCTTTTCTTCTCTGCAAAACAAGGGCCTGAAAGAGCCAATCTCTCAACCCCTGTTCAATGTCTGAAATGATTTAATCCAGTGGTTCCCTTCCATTGCTGCAGTGATGTTAAGAAAGTTGGCTGGAGAGCCAGGTGGGCTGGCTTCCAATGCTAGTTCAGCCATTCTCTTGCTTTGGGCATAATAATAGGATTCTAGTGAAGGTTAAGTAAGTTCACACAGGTAAAATGTTTAGAACACTTGGTCCTTAGTAAACCCTCAATGAATATTACCTATTTTTGCTGCCTCTGGTTATCTGTAGGTTTTGTGAAGGCTGGATTCTTACCTGTATTAAGTGATACCTAAAGCTGCCATATTCTAATGCTTAGCTGAGTAGCCCATGAGCAGGCTCCCATTAGGGTCTCTATCCTGTATTGGAAGGAACAGAACTGACATGTACTGAGGTTTCACTCTGGGTCAGACCTTGTACCAGACACTGAACATGTACCATCTCACTGAATCCTCCTAACAATGGCAAAAGCCAACACCTATTCTCCCCTTGCTCTACTCCTACGGAAATGGACGTAGGTTCACTAAGATGAAAGCCACATGGCTAATAATTAGGGGATTATGGATTCAGACTCAGGTTTGTGGGCCCCCAAAGCCCATGCCAGGGTGAACAAAATGAATTCCCCTGGAATGACAATTCATTATCAGCCCAGGCTCTTCCCAGGATAGAAAGCTGATACCTGCATTTGTTGAAGGAAGCCATCCTGTGGGTCAGCGCAGGGAGCATTTCCCCTGAAGACTTCTCCCTCTTCTTTCAAGCCAGGCTTAAGGATCCAAACAACAAAGGAAGATGAAAGAACCTTGTTGATGAAGTCCTCTATCCTTGGAAGAAGAAGTTTCAAAAATAAAATAAAAAATGAAGAATAGGGTGGCAGGGGGCCGTTGCTGGGGGAGAGAACAATCCTTGACAAATATCTTCTGTTAATAAATTCCATTTTGCCTTGAAAATATTTGCCAACTATCTAAGCAGAAAAAATTTTCACATACCAGGTCAAACCATTGCTGAAATGCCTCTCTAGTCTGCCTGCCCACAGCCCCTGTTTCCATAATGTCCCAGGAGGCAGCCTCTTGTGGACTTCTGTGGTCTTCGCCCAGGAAGACTGACCTTTTTCATGAAGGGGATTCAGGGGAATTTAGGCAAGCTCTCCTCCTAGGCCCAGGAGAAGGTGTTCTAGTGGCCCTGCAGGTCTTTCTATGTACCCATCTTCCTCTTCCTTTCCCCTTCCCCTCCCCTCCCTTCCCCTTCCTCTCCCCTCCCCTCCCCCTCCCCTATTCTCCCTTCTCTCCGTTTCACTGAACCAGGGGGTAAGAAACTTTTCTCGTCTCTCTTCTGCTTCCCTCCCAGGTTCATCCACCTCTTCTCAATCAAGAATAACTCTTTCCTTCTCTCAAACTTGCTTGGTTTTGTTGGTTGGGAGAAAAGAGTTTCTCCAACCCTTAGTTTTGCTGCACTTCCAGCCCTCTGCTTTCATGGATGAATAAATTCAACACCTTTTCTGGAGGGGCTACTGGGGTGGCTTCCATTTTGAAAAAGTGCATCAGGCCTCAATATTAGATTTGGAGACAATTCCAGTTTGTCCCAAGGACTTGCTCATTTTGTTTTATTGAATTTGCTTAGGGATATGACCTCTTAAAGGTCCTGCGGGTAGATTTATGCCAAAACATACACCATTCAGGGACTCGTGAAACCATCTGGGGAATATTTGGATGAAAAAGAAAGGCATTTGTTAACATTGTTCTGCCAAGCTGGAGAGCAAACGTAGATCTAGTTCAAACTAAAATGAGGCCAGAGAGTTGATTATCTTTTCCCCTAGATGGACCATCGTTCTACCTCCAGCTCAACTTTCCCTTCCTGGAATAGACAGAGGCTGACTTCCACTACATGGTCATCCAGCCCGCCTAGGAGAGTGCATCCAGTATGGCTGCTTGTTTCAGAAGAAGCACGCTTGCTCTCCTATGCCTGGACCTTGGGGCACAGTTATTCTTATTTTTCCCTCTGGTGTACTTCGGAGACTTTTTGAGAGCCTGATGATTTTTTTTTTTTAATTTCTTTTAACTTTTTTTTTTTTTTTCTTTTTTCTAATAGAGACAGGGTTTTGCTATGTTGCCTGGGCTGATCTCCAACTCCTGGGCTCAAGCAAGACTCCCTCCTCTGTCTCTCAAAGTGCTGGAATTCTAGGCATGAGCCACCGTGCCTGGACTGAGCCTGATGATTTCCTATTCTATGAGGTCATAGAATGGGAGCCTTTGGGTGAGCAAGACTTCTCTGGGGTAAGAATACCCAGAGCCCAGCCCCTATTCAAGTTAACCCTTCTTTCCTCTTTCTCTTCCTTCAGCAACAGTTTTGTTGTTGTTGTTGTTGTTGTTGTTGTTGTTGTTTTGAGATGGAGTCTCGCTCTGTCGCCCAGGCTGGAGTGCAGTGGTGTGATCTCGGCTCACTGCAACCTCCGCCTTCTGTTTCAAGCGATTCTTCTGCTTCAGCCTCCCAAATAGCTGGGACTACAGGAGCATGCCACCACACCCGTCTAATTTTTTGTATTTTTAGTAGAGACAGGGTTTCACTGTGTTAGCCAGGATAGTCTCAATCTCCTGACCTTGTGATCTGCCCGCCTCGGCCTCCCAAAGTGCTGGGATTATAGGCGTGAGCCACCGCAACTGGCCTCAGCAACTGTTTTTGATGCTATGTTCCCTACATGGTGCTAGGTGTCAAGGATGCAACGATAGATAAGAAAGATAGATTCTTGCCTTAATGGAACATACTGTCTGGTGAAAGACAGATGCCAAGCACCAAGTTGGTGTAGTATAGCAAATGCAAGAGCCATCTGAAAACTTTCTGATATCACGTTTTGTCCTTTGCCATTAAAAGCTTCATTTTGCTGGGCACAGTGGCTCACGCCTGTAATCCCAGCATTTTGGGAGGCCGAGGCGGGCGGATCACGAGGTCAGGAGATCGAGACCATCCTGGCTAACATGGTGAAACCCCGTCTCTACTAAAAATACAAAAAATTAGCCGGGCATGGCGACGGGTGCCTGTAGTCCCAGCTACTCAGGAGGCTGAGGCAGGAGAATGGCGTGAACCCGGAAGACAGAGCTTGCAGTGAGCCGAGACAGCACCACTGCACTCCAGCCTGGGCAAAAGAGCGAGACTCTGTCTAAAAAAAAAAAAAAAAAGCTTCATTTTAGGCTGGGTGCGGTGGCTCATGCCTGTAGTCCCAGCACTTTGGGAGGCTGAGGAGGGCGGATCGCCTGAGATCGGAAGTTCGAGACCAGCATGGAGAAACTCTCTCTACTAAAAATACAAATTAGCCAGGCGTGGTGGCACATGCCTGTAATCCCAGCTACTTGGGAGGCTGAGGCAGGAGAATCACTTGAACCTGGGAGGAGGAGGTTGCAGTGAGCCGAGATCACACCATTGCACTCCAGCCTGGGCAACAAGAGAGAAACTCCGTCTCAAAAGAAGAAGAAAAAAAAAAAGGCTTCAATTCTGACGCTTTCATTGGAATTGGAATGGGGCTGGGAGTGGGAACCGGGGCTGCCAGGGCCATCTTGCTGCCCCCAGGGAGAACAGGTCTGAGGTGGAGCCAAGCAGAGTGAGCAGAACTGAGATGAGCAGAGAAAAGCAGGACCTGGAGAAAGAACATTGCTGCATCATGCCTCCACTGCATTCCTAAAGTTTTCTGTCTACACACAAACCAGTATGTCCCCTCTTGTCTTGGATAAATGCATGTAAACAAATGGATGAACACAAGTGTTCATGGGCACAGCACAGGCACCTGCTAAGTAGGCCACCTCGTGTCTGGTGTCCTGGTGTCCTAAGAAGCACCAGCTTCCTTAATCCCCTTGGAGACCCTGTGAGGGCGGAAGGTAACATGATGGTTAACTGCTAAGAATTCTCAGCCTGACTACAACCACCCTGAATCAACAACACAAGAGGCTTCCAGATTAGTGAAAACTTAGACATGTAGTGGAGTGTGAGCCAAAGGTAAAAGAAAAGGAGACAGAGAGACTGCAGAGAGAGACAGGCAGGAGTGAGACGGTGTGAGGGAGGTGGGAGGTGGGTGCTGTTTCTAGATTCCTGTGCGGGAAAACTCTGCTGGGAGGCCTGCGATTACATGGCACTCAAGCATGTGGGTCGCTGCTGGAACTGGGTGTCCCACATCACGTAGGCACTGTGAGCATTAAAATAACAATCTCCATGATGTGGCACCTGCAGAGAAACATCAAAGGGGTTGAAGCTGTTCAGGCACGAGAAGGTGAGGCCTCGCTGCGAGCCTGAAGCTGTTCCCTGAATGATGACCTGGCAGTGAGTGTGAATGCCTGTCTTCTAGTCTAAACCGTCAGGGCGCGGCCCAAGTCCTACTCATCTCAGTAACCTTCAGAGAATCTGGCACATAGAGCTGGAATCAAACATGTTTCATAAATAACAAACTGGAAGAGTGGGCTAAACTTGGACCCAGGAGCTGGTTCAAACCCTGGTTTGAAGAAGGAAGGTGGATCCTTGGAGAGATACCAGCCTGCTGGACTGTCCCTTCCACTGAGTAGTGTTGGCAGGTAATGGGGGTTAGCTTTCCTGACATAGGGTCCTTTTGCCATGCTTCACTGTGCTGTAGGGACGGGGACACACCTGCAAGTTAAAGAGCCTTGTTCGGAAAGGAAAGATTGTTAGGAGCCTCGTAGCATCTTGGCCCAGCTTCCCTGCCTTCAAGGACCAACAATGATGAAGTCTGTCTTGGAGCTGCTGGGCCGTTTTCATCGCTGTCCAGGCTACAACACTTCCAGATGATTCTCACATTACAGCTTCTCAATGTCTGCCCTTGCCCTACCCTCACTCCCCCGCCTCCCCACCCCCCACCCAGTTAGCTACTGGATAACAAATCCAGTGTCTCAGTGGGATTCAGGGGAGTAAGAAGGAATGCATTGCTATCCCATATCTCGAACCTTCTCTTGGCAAAAAGGAAATTCCATATGCTCCCAAAAGAGTGGGAGAAAAATGACTGCTGGAATAGCAGAGTTGGAAGATTTAAAGGCCTCTTGGGATAATTAAAGACTGAGGTTCTAGCCCTCACCACATCATTGATTAGTAGGAGGCTCTTGAGCAGTTCAAATCAATTTATTCATTCACATCATTGATGAGTAGGGGGCTCTTAAGCAGTTCAAACAATTTATTCATTCATTCAACAAGCATTGAGTGATTACTACATGTCAGGCCCCATGCTATGTATCAAGGATGTAAAGCCAGCCAAAGAGCATTTTCTACCTTCACAGACTGTATGGGGAAATAGACAGCAGTCAAGACCATTCCTTACAGCATAGTGCAGTTAATGGTAGGATAGTAATGTAATTAGTAGTAGTGGTATGGCAGGAACCCAAGATCCATGGAACCCCAGTAGAAGGCCACATTCATGGGCTTGCTCCCTCATCTGTGCATTGAGTGTGTGGTGCCACATCATGAAAGGAAGGTAAGAAGGCTTTGGTGTGCCTCTTGTGGTCCCAGGTTGGGCTCCAAAGCAAACACTGAGCAGTGAGTGGTTCTCAAACCCCCATGCACATTCTAATTAGAACCTGGTGGAGAGCTTATTTTAAAAGGTAGATTCCTGGACCTGACCCCAGGAATTCAGAATTATTACGTTCGGGGTAATCTGCATTTTAAAGAAGTGCCTTGGGCTGATTCTGATGCAGATGGTCCATAGACCACCTTTTGATAAGGACTGTCTGTAAAGACCCTGACAACTCAAAGATACTCCAATTTCTTCAGCTGTAAGTCATTTTCTTTGAGTTAGCAGATGGAATTAGCAGTTCATGATGGAGCCTGGATTTTGGCTTCTTCCCCAAAGTGCAGGCTTCAACTTTTTCTCTGTGCTACCAGCTAAAATAATTGTCAGGCTGTCAGTTTGACAGAAAGCACACCTATTCATGCAGTTATTCTTGATTCAGATGTTTGGGGAGAAATACAGTGAAACTACAATATGGAATCTAAATTGTTTCCTGTTAGAAAAACACCTAAATATCCTAATAGTTAGAAACAAATGCTTATTCCTCAGTGCTGCAAAGAAATAGCACTTGAACATAAATTTAATTTTCTCAGCAAGGCAATTCTTTACCTCTATAGAAGGGTGCGACTCACAGATGGAGTAATGGTGAGAGCACACCTGGATAGGGGAAGGGAAGGGGTTCTTATTCCTGATGCAGGTAGCTCCTACTGCTGTGTTGTTCCCCTATT